ATAATATAAATTACATGCATTAAAATATTTTATCTAATACATATAAATATAACGTATTAATATAATTATATCAATACTTATGATATAATTATAAAATATAATAAAAAAGACGACACAAAAAATAAAAAGAAAACATAGAACCTGCAAAAATACTGCATGAATGATACATTAGTTTCTTAAAGGAATTATTAAAGTCTGAAAAAATGCCTAATAACTAAACACTAAACCTAAATCCTGAACAAGATATGAATGAATACTAATGCTGAAAAAGTATAATTTGAATTCATATAAAATTAATAGAAAAAAAAATATATGCTTAACAACAAATGTTATTAATACATGAGTAATTCCCAATAAGTACAACATATAAATCGACTGTGCTATAAAATATAATTTTTTAGGCATATCCTTTAATATTTTGTTAATCTTTTATTAGAGATTACACAATATCTGACAAAAACATTAAATATGTTTAAACTCATATTATATATGATGAATAATTAAAAATGTTTTTTATGTATATTTCAATTTTTATGTAATGATGTAATATTTATATTAATTATATATGCACAATATAAGATTAATCGAATTTAAATTAGAAGAACATTTTTATATTTATATTTATGTTATATATAACAATTCAAATATATTACGTTTTTTCTTAGATATAATTTAAATGGTAACTCAAAATCATTATAATTTAGGCATTATTATTTTTAATTTATAAAGAAACAGACTCTTATCCAGAATGAATAACAACAATTAATAAATTCAATAAATAAATTATTTCTAATTCAGCTTTCTATATGATTTATTAATATATATATTATAAGAATTATTCTATAATTTTAAAATAAATGTTTATACTTAAATTAAAATTTTATGTATATACACATGACATATTCAATCGACGTTAGGTTACGTATAATTACATAGGGACATTAATTAATTTAAATTTTTCATATTTATTGTATTGTATAATGTAAATATGGCTGATAAGGAATCGAAGGTAAGGATACATTAAAATATACAAAAATATATAGAATATATGTATATTAATGAATATTCTGAACTTAATGATTTACGATAAAAAACACATAATATTAATAAATAAATAAATTTTCATATTTTTATTTTTTTCATTTTATCTTTTTAGACTTTTAATATAACTCACTTACCTTCAGCTAAATTTTATGTTATGCTGGATAATAATTCTATGGGATTACGAGAATTACAATACTGTAAAGGTTTTCCTAATAATTACGGTACAAAGGGACAAATTAGAAAACTTTGTATAAAATATATAAATTATTTAAAAAAACAAGCCCAAATATTCAGAAAACCTGAATACAAAAACATGAATTGTAATAGTTTAACCTATTGGTTATATCATAAACTATCAAGAACTCCAAATATGGATAAAAAAAATTGTTCTAGAGCATTATCTGACATTTACGATATGTGGAGACGGGCTACTATGAGCGTTACTTCATCCGATGCTATAAGTTGTAAACCTTATCTTAAAATTACTACTTATCACGATAATTGGGATCATGCTAAAAAACTGTTTGATTATTCTATGGATTTTAATTATCTTAGGGATATGAAAAATGATTTTAAGGAAAAGTGTGATAAATTATGTGCATACCTCAATGAGATAGCTGATATATATAAGAAATATAAAGATGTGTGTATTCTTAAGAATGAACAGATGTGCCCTGTTTGGGGGATTGAATACGAAAAGTACAATCCAGAAGATTTTTTAGATAGGTTTAAATGTCGTGATGATGAAGAGAAACCAGTTACTATTGAACAGGTTGATTCTGAGGAAGAAGTAGAAGAAGTGCTCTCTGTACATGATGGGTTTTCTGATACTCCATTAAGTATAATGGATTATCAGCAATCGTATGAAATAAAAAAGGACGAATCGAAGCCTCTAAGTACATTTGG